CATCTATCAATTACAGGAAAACCAATCACATAACATTAACATCAACGTCACCAACCATCAACCACAGCAAAAATCAACGTCACCAACCATCAACCATCAACCACAGCAAACATCAACCACAGCAAACATCAACCAAAGAACAGCAACAACAGCGAACATCAATCAAATAACATTAACATCAACGTCACCAACCATTAACCACAGCAAACATCAACATCAGCAAACATCAACCACAGCAAACCTCAAGCACAGAACAGCAACAACAGCGAACATCAACATCACTAACCATCAACCACAGCGAACATCACAACAGCAAACATCAACTTCACCATCCATCAACCTCAGCGAACATCAACCACAGCGACGAATATTTTGACAAGTGGCCCAAAACATATGTTTGAAGTTTCACGTTTGCGCATGAGGGCGTTGTATCTCCAACAGATATTGACATTTTTAAAAACAATTCATGTATAAGTGTGTGTATTTGTGATTGGGGGAGGTAGCCCCCCCCCCCCCCCCCCCCCACCCCCCCCCCCCCCCCCCGAAGAGATGCCTGGAAGAAACTCTGAAAGATAACCATTTAATCGTACATAATTTAATCCTTAAAACGAGTAGGGGCAAAGGTATAATATGCAGACCACAAGAAGAGCAGACGACAGGAAGTAAGGAGCAGACGACAGGAAGTAAAGAGCAGACGACAGGAAGTAAGGAGCAGACGACAGGAAGTAAAGAGCAGGCCATAAGAAGCTGTCGACCAACTGTGAGAGTTGCCGCAGGAGAGACTAGCTAGTTACCAGCACCACAGTGACCTTTAGGGGGGGGGTTATGCTAACCCATAGAAAACGACCTTGACCCAGGCCTGATAGTTAACCCTCTGAGACTCTTAAGTCAAAACTTTCTTGGATCCCTGACTGGAAGCACACAACCACACGATAATCAAACGGGGAAATAAATTAAAAGGAAGACAACCACAAAAATTAGTGTATAAATACGAATGACCTTGTTACTTCCCCTGGAATTCTTAAATGTAAAGCTAGGGGAGTGTGAGGTTCACGATTTTTTTCATTTCAGTTTCCTTATATAAGAAGAAACAACAGACAATGAAATTAACGAGGCAGCACTTGACAGCTAAACCGGTAGAGATTTTAAAATGTGAAGTCAGCATTTTAAAAAAATCACGTCTGAACTGAACACCGCCGTTTTAAAAGGTTAGAATAAACTTCTAAACCTGCTTGCTATAGGTTTTTACTTTAGGCTACAACTACATCTAGCTGATGAGGTTATAATATTTCTCTCAGTAATAACTTAAGAGAAGTCTACAAGTAGAGGCACATTCGGGGGGGGGGGGGGTCTATCGATTTCGCCCCTCCCAATTTTTATAGGATTATTCGAGTTTGGAAAGATTGTGGGCGTTGTTTTTCCCCAGTCGCAATCCTGTAACAATTTTTTTTATTTTAGTGTCACACAGTCGATGTAGTTCAATCTGTTGCTTCAGCAAAATGGCGATCTATTTCCTCAACCTTGACAGAAATGCAGATCAGAACGTATTTTTAAAATTTTATTCTACTCCCCCAAGCTCCGTCACACAATGCGGCCGCCCCATCTGCCCTACCCCTAGCTACGCCTCTTTGGTCACGTTAGTGTGTCAGAAACCAAGAATTGTTTGTATGTGAATGTGTATGTATATATATACATATACATATATATATATATATATATATATATATATATATATATATATATATATATATATATATATATATATATATATATATATATATATATATATATATATATATATATATATATATATATACATACATTTATATATCTGTTAATAGGTATATTTTTTTTACAAAGGATGGGAGATGCAGACAGGTAAAGATATATATTTTCTATACAAAGTAAAGTTTTTTTTATTAAGTCCTGGCGAGGGGGCGGTAGACATGCTTCGCCCCCTCCCCTCCCCCACCCCACCATAAAGATGCCTGAAAGAAACACTGAATGTATAAATATTGTTGTGCTGTTTTCATTGTCTTAACACCAGAGCAGTACGCCTGTTTTGAAATGATCGTCGACCTAAGATTGGCCTTTAAAAAGATAATCTTGGTCACGATTTGGCTGGCCAGGTTTTATTGTAGGCAACTCTCGGCTGGTGAGTCACAGCAGACGGCTCCAACAAGTGTGCCAGATTTCTCTGCCGAGCCAAACCAACATCAGTTCGCCAGGGCAAGATAAATAACCCAAGCTGGTCGAGGTTTAACTCTTTAAGGTCGAGCTAACACCAGGGTTAAGTAACCCCAGCTGATGGAGCTTTAACTCTTTAAGGTCGAGCTAACACCAGAGTTAAGTAACCCCAGCTGATGGAGCTTTAACTCTTTGTCGAGCTAACACCACAATTTTGACGACCTTTGAAAGGGAGGGGAGGGTAGGTGTAGTCCTGGTTCGACTAATTCTAACATGAAGTTAACAAAACGACATCTTTGCTGACATCTTTTTTGACATCTTTGTTGACATCTATGTTGACATCTTTGTTGACATCTATGTTGACATCTTTGTTGACATCTATGTTGACATCTTTGTTGACATCTTTGTTGACATCTATGTTGACATCTTTGTTGACTTCTTTGTTGACATCTTTGTTGACATCTTTGTTGACATCTTTGTTGACATCTTTGTTGACTTGTTCGTTGACATCTTTGTTGACTTGTTCGTTGACATCTTTGTTGACATCTTTGTTGACTTGTTCGTTGACATCTTTGTTGACTTCTTTGTTGACATCTATGTTGACATCTTTGTTGACTTCTTTGTTGACTTGTTCGTTGACATCTTTGTTGACTTCTTTGTTGACATCTTTGTTGACATCTATGTTGACATCTTTGTTGACTTCTTTGTTGACTTGTTCGTTGACATCTTTGTTGACTTCTTTGTTGACATCTTTGTTGACATCTATGTTGACATCTTTGTTGACTTCTTTGTTGACTTGTTCGTTGACATCTTTGTTGACATCTTTGTTGACTTCTTTGTTGACTTGTTCGTTGACATCTTTGTCCACTGTTATGTGTGTTGAGACAACACACAAGTAATTAAACTTCACATTTGCTGAGTGTAGAGTGAATGTGATGAGATCACACATGAGTGTAGAGTGAATGTGATGAGATCACACATGAGTGTAGAGTGAATGTGATGAGATCACACATGAGTGTAGAGTGAATGTGATGAGATCACACATGAGTGTAGAGTGAATGTGATGAGATCACACATGAGTGTAGAGTGAATGTGATGAGATCACACATGAGTGTAGAGTGAATGTGATGAGATCACACATGAGTGTAGAGTGAATGTGATGAGATCACACATGAGTGTAGAGTGAATGTGATAAGATCACACATGAGTGTAGAGTGAATGTGATGAGATCACATATGAGTGTAGAAGTAATGTGATAAGAAATAAGTGATGTTTTCAAACCGTTGTTATCTAGTTGTAGCAGGTGTAACCACGGTACTGATACAGGTGTAAGCACGGCACTGATGCAGGTGTAACCACGGCACTGATGCAGGTGTAACCACGGTACTGATGCAGGTGTAACCACTGCACTGATGCAGGTGTAACCACGGCACTGATGCAGGTGTAACCACTGCACTGATGCAGGTGTAACCACGGCACTGATGCAGGTGTAACCACGGCACTGATGCAGGTGTAACCACGGCACTGATGCAGGTGTAACCACGGTACTGATACAGGTGTAACCACTGCACTGATGCAGGTGTAACCACGGCACTGATGCAGGTGTAACCACGGTACTGATGCAGGTGTAACCACTGCACTGATGCAGGTGTAACCACGGCACTGATGCAGGTGTAACCACGGCACTGATGCAGGTGTAAGCACGGTACTGATGCAGGTGTAACTACTGCACTGATGCAGGTGTAACCACGGCACTGATGCAGGTGTAACCACGGTACTGATGCAGGTGTAACCACGGCAATGATGCAGGTGTAACCACTGCACTGATGCAGGTGTAAGCACGGTACTGATGCAGGTGTAACTACTGCACTGATGCAGGTGTAACCACTGCACTGATGCGGGTGTAAGCACGGAGTGATGCAGGTGTAAGCACGGTACTGATGCAGGTGTAACCACGGCACTGATGCAGGTGTAAGCCAGTGTACTCATGCAATAACCTAAGATTTAACCTGATCCGTATGATTATCATGAGATTACTGTACCCTGAAATACGTTAATCTTTTAATGCCTTACTTAACAAGAACGCTTGTTAATCTCTAATACTGAATATTTTACAATAGAGCTTATCCACGGGGTGCGTACTATATTGGATATACGAAGCTAAATCACGGAAATAATACTTGTTTGTTTTCGTTCACAGGCATACAAAAACACCTAAACACGTACAGACTTGCATACACATATTTCAATACACATCAGCAAACAGTCGCTGACAAAGGAAGGGGTAAAGGGCCCATGGAGCCGCATCTATAAGGGCGCCATGCTGGGTACCATAAAGATTTCTTTCCAGATATCGAGTTGGGTGCTATGGGTCTAAATTAAATATTGGAAGCTTCACCCCCACCCCACCTCTCCACACCCCAATCGTTTCACACCGTAAATGTTGACTGTAAACAAAATGGTGGGGTGAGCGAGATCGCAAAAAAAGCGTTTTGTTTACATCGGCCACTGACTGTGTGTGTAGGGGAAGAGGTGGGGGTTCAGGTAAATTTGTTTGAATTTGACACGTAACAGTGAGTAAATAACTCCATTGAGAGTAGGTACATGCAAGCTGCGAGTATTGTGAAGATTTGCAGTTAGCCGGAGAAAATATTCGTTTCTAGACCAACAAGTACACCAGGAGAACGTAAGTTTATGTCAAAGTTGATAGAATGGTATAGGCTTATATAAAAGTTGATAGAATTTTATAGGCTTGTATAAAAGTTGATAGAATGGTATAAGCTTGTATAAAAGTTGATAGAATGTTATAGGCTTGTATAAAAGTTGATAGAATGGTATAAGCTTGTATAAAAGTTGATAGAATGATATAGGCTTTTATAAAAGTTGATAAAATTTTATAGGCTTGTATAAAAGTTGATAGAATGGTATAAGCTTGTATAAAAGTTGATAGAATGATATAGGCTTTTATAAAAGTTGATAGAATGATATAGGCTTTTATAAAAGTTGATAAAATGTTATAAGCTTGTATAAAAGTTGATAGAATGATATAGGCTTGTATAAAAGTTGATAGAATGGTATAAGCTTGCATAAAAGTTGTTAGAATGTTATAATCTTGTATAAAAGTTGATAAAATGTTATAGGCTACACAGAAGATGGCCAGGCCCTTGTCCGTCTGCTTCCTGTGTTTGCTGGTTGCCGCCATCACGGCACGCGACTTCAACGAACAGCGGAAGAATTGGCGGTGTGTCATCAAGACCAGGGTAAAGGACTTCTCTTGCCAGGCAACTGCTGATACCTTCGTTGTCGAGGCAACAGACGCCGCTCAAGCATGTGCCCGTTTTAAGCAGTACGGTGATATGATGTGCACGCCGGAGGATTACAATATAATCCACCCCATGATCTGTGACAATGTCGTCGTTCCGTGTTAGTGAGGATGGAGTGAAATCTTGACCAACTTGTCTGTCCACAACATTCAGTGAAATCTAACAAATCTTGACCAACTTGTCTGTCCACAACATTCAGTGAAATCTAACTTAAATCTTGACCAACTTGTCTGTCCACAACATTCAGTGAAACCTAACAAATCTTGACCAACTTGCCTGTCCACAACATTCAGTGAAACCTAACTAATCTTGACCAACACTTTTCCTAAGCCTAAAATACACAGCTGTGATTAATTTTATGAAAATAAATTTTAATTAAACTTGGTTATTGAATGATCTGAAGCTTTTGTTTTCTTTGAGATCAGCTTAAACGATGTAATTTCCTCAGGTCAACATCTGACAAGTGATAAAAATACATTTTTGACTTTGCAGATATCAAACTAATGAGGTAGATTTAATCGCACTGGCTGTTAATTTGTTTTATATTTATTTAGTGGTATTTTGTGCTGAGAGTAGTGTTAGTTTTTGTCAAATGGTGTTTTTGTCTGTGGAAGTAGTGCAGTAGTATTATGAGTGATGTTTTAGATATGCTATTTTTTAAATTATTATCAGTAGTATTAGTTAATTTGTACTATTAGAGTCTTTTAAAAAAAAGTCTTGTCCTTAGTATCATACTTTTCAATTAGTGGATATCGTTTTTAGAGGCTGTTTGTTTGAATGTTGTGTGACAGTTGGGTGTGGTTGGGTGTGGTTGGGTATGGTTGGGTGTGGTTGGGTGTGATGGGTGGGAAGCGTGGATGGCAAGCACCGAGTGAGGGACTGGGTGTGACCAACTGGGGGGGGGGGGGCTTACCTTCCTAACTTGACTGGGTATTTCGATGTTTCATATGTTTTCTTATGTTTCCTTGTTTTATTATAATGTTTGGTTATGTTTTGCTATGGCTAACTTAGAATAGACTTGTGTAGTTTATAGTAGTTGTTAGATTGTTTTTTAAATTAAAGAGTGGTCCCACGATTTTAAAAACTTAATAAATGCAACGATTGGCTGACTTTAAAAAAAAATTTAAGTTAAGGCTAGGAGTTAACCTCTGCAGATTTAGCCATGGTTGCACTGATTATAGTACGGGGGGGGGGGGGAGGGGGATAGATTAGATTTCCTTTGTTAGGGCTTATATTAGAGATTAAAGTTTAGCCACAATAGCTATAAAGAGCTGAGCCGCAACGAAGCATACGCCGCTATCTAGTTGTTTTATTTTCTACTTATCAACAATTCATAATTTGTGAATTCGACACTACCCTACCTACCCCCCTGCCTCACCCACCTCACCCCACCCTACCCCGCCCAGTGAAAGCAGCCGTTTACAGACGACAATGAAAAGATCAAGCAGAACTTGTTATCTCCCCTTAGTTTCAAATCGTTTAAAAAACAAAATTATTTGCCCCTAATAGGGTTGGTAAGTAGGTCACCAACCAGTTCTACGGTTCAATAAAACCTGCATGAGCCATAGAACAGGTTGGTGACCTACTTGCCAGCCCTATAACCGTCACTTATTCAAACCTGCTCTACTATTGTAAACATTCGGGGTGAACCATAGCTCACCTGACAGGTGGGAATGAGGGTGGTGGCTAAGCTGCGTGGTGTTTTCTATGGTTGTCCATGAAGAGAATTATATACATAGATAGCTTCAAGGTTCCAATGAGCTTCGTCTTAACCTCCACAGACAATCCTCCATTTCGGCAAGACTTGAGCAGAGTTTCTTCCAGGCATCTCTTCAAGGGGGGGGGGGGGCGTTGATTCAATGAAATTACACACAGGATAAAGTTAAGGATTGAGGTCCACTAGGATTGATTCAATCCAGTTATGGTAACTCGCTCTAAAGACAAGCTTTGATCAGCCTCTAATTTAGGACTGGGATGATTTTTGTGCTATACGTTTTGCGCACATTTTATTTGACATAAGGCGATAACTACTCTCAAATACTCTCAGTTTAAAGTTGCCAGCAACACCATCTAGAAGGCGTACTAACTACAATTTAACATTAATATATCTACAGACTACTAAATTAATAGCTTCCACAGAGAGTACTCATACATTTTCTTTTTTAACATAAACATAGTTGTTAGTTTAATTGAATACAGAAAAATAATGTCTCAACAGGATGCGTAAACGAAAAAAAGGGAAAAAAATTACTTCAATTATAAAATAAGCAACTAAGAAAGCGATAAGACAAAAGTGCGACCCCACTGAATCTAAAAATAGCCACAGATCACGTGGTCGACGAGAGTTTGAGTTGAAGTGTACTAGACGCGGCGTGTTACAGTTACAGAACACAAATGGTTTGTGTTAAATGAGATAAAGGTAGTGACGTGTTGGGACGGTAAGCAATGGGGGGGGGGGGCGAGGGGGGGCCTTCTAGCTCGTTAACTTTACACCAATTCTTTCTGGACAGTAGTGCCCAAGGTTGTCACATTATTTTATGAACCCCCCCCCCCCTCCCCACATTATTTTATGAACCCCCCCCCCCTCCCCACATGATTTCATGAACCCCCCCTCACATTATTTTCT